CGTTAGGCTGTTAGTAGGATCCTACTAACAGCCTAACGACAAAAACCAACAAGATCGAACCAACCAAACGTCTTTTACGAGGATTCATGTCTGCATTTACCACAATACTTGCAGTCAAATGCAAACAAAACACACTATGATAATATATGCATTTTTCGATTTAAAGCTTTCGTGACTGCAGGGATTCATCTTGGTTTTTTTGGTAAAGTCACGTAGAAGGGAAGTAATAAAATAATAAAAATAAAACATAATAAAATAATTCTCACGACGTTTCGGCTACCACGCAAGCAGCCGTCTTCAGGTAAAGAATGAGACACTGCCAAGCTAGGAGCTTATTTATAAGCTGAGTTGGGGGTGTAAGAAGAGCGCCTTAACAAAAGAATGTGCATATCAAGAGGAATTTTGCATATTCATGGGAAATGCGTAGGAGGTGGGCGGGGGGGTTTCAAAGTCATATTATGCCCATGCATTATGCAGGATCAGCAGCACCAAAGGGAGGGGGCAGGGGGTAGCATTAACAAAGGGAGGGAATGTTAATAGTATGTAGAAGCAATGAAACATGTGAATGGGAGAGCGGTGGCAGGATACCCGCAGCGGAGCAAATAATGCATTCCCTGTGGAGAACACAAGATACACAGTTAATGCCAGTGAGTGGACTGCGGTCTGAAAGTCACCGTAAACATGAACAACAATCAGTTAAGATCCGAAATGGTGTATTACGTCCTTCCAATGATTGCTGAGCCAGAATCCATCTTCTCGGTTGAAATTGTCTCTGTGTTTGTATATGTGGATCGCCTCATGAACGAATCTCTCATGGTAGCCAGATGGCTTGCAGAGAACCTCTGTCTTGGAGAAGTCAATGTCCTGTGAGCCCACTGAATTGTAACAGTGATCTGCCACGGCTGAGGTGTTTGTCCTACCGTGTTTCAGGTCTGCTTTATGTTCATGGATGCGGTCCGAGACATGTCGTTTGGTTTCTCCAATGTAACTGCTACCACAGAGGCAACTTAGTTTGTAGACGCCAGGGTACTGTATGTCTGGAACCACGTCTTTTACAGACGGGACCAGATCACGGATTTTTGTACTGTGTTGAATCGGACCTGAATCTTGTGTTTAATCAGGATTTTGGATATCTTTTTTGTGACCCCAGCAATGTAGGGTAAGGTGATGGTTTTGAAAGGCTCCTCAACAGGATCCTTCTTGATGGTTGGAGTGATGGCTTTATGGATTGTGTAGTCGGAGTAACCATTAGTCTTAAGAGCTTGGCATACGTGTTTGAGTTCACTGGCAATGTGTTCCTGGTCGGAGATGCATTGGGCTCTATGGTATAGAGTCTTGATGAGGGAATTCTTCTGGGATGGATGGTGGTGGGAATCCGGTTTTAGGTATTACTTCCCTTCTACGTGACTTTACCGAAAAAACCAAGAATATATATGCATTGTCATTGAAACTGATTGGTCCACACCAAGGGACGGCTTTTTTTGAGCCTCGACCCAATTGGTGCTCCACCAGAGGACGCCAATTGGTGCTCGACCAGAGGATGCCAAAAGGCGTACAGCTCACACATTATCATAGTGTGTTTTTGCGGTTGGGGGTTGTGAGGGGTCCTACGATCCCTCGCAAACACTCCCAATGGCCGGGGGGGCTACGGACGTACTGGCCTGCAACGGCAGACATGCAGACCTCGGTGAGGGACTCTGGGGTCACCCGCGTCCCTCACGGAGGTCCGCACCTCGGCTGAGAAACGTATATAAGGCAGACCTCTGGAGAGGTCCTGGCAGTTTAAGACGACCAGTTGGAGCAAGAAGACCTGCTAGAATAGGACCCTGGACCCCTAGCTTCGCCGTCTTTTTAAGGGCTGAAGCTCTGTGAGGCCAGTGGTGGACCCTGGGTCTCCCATAGGATATTATAGCCAGAGGACCTGGAGCACAGCCGGGGCAGGCATGTTACGTAGGAGGCGTATAATATACCGAGTGGAAGTACTCGAGATAAACTGTATGAGGAGTTATGTTTAGTAGTTAGGGCGCGTGTATATAATAAAGACGTGCCCCCAACAAAGTGTCTCCGGAGAAAACACGACACAGAAATGAATCCTCGTAAGGTTTCAGTTTTGTTGCCAGAAAAAAGGGGAAAACTCCTATTATTAACTCCTATCATTTTTCATTGCTGGAGGGTTTGCCCCCCTCCCTACCTTAAAATACTGACTCCGCCCCTGAGTGTGTGACAGTGTCAAGTTTGTATTTGCAGTAAAGTCTTTTAATTCTATTGAGCACGGAGGTTATATCAAAACGGTAGTTTATTTTTGTTTTCCTCTGGAAGTCTTTGTAAGATTGGAGTCAGGAAGTTATCACAGCACACGTGCAGCTGAAGTCGGAACTTCATACCAGCATTCAAGGACATCTGTGCCTTGCTTCACACCTCTAAGTTGCAATTGAACATTAATTTATGCATTTGTGCATAACACAAATAGTATTTTTTTCAACACCCTTTGCTATGTCAGCTGAATTTAGCTTTCATAAATAGTCATTTTGAAGCCAGACAGCCGAAATCGTGTGCTCGGAGTTTTGGGTTAACATTCATTTTGAAGATACTAGGGCTTCCAGGCATGTTTATAACCATTTGCCCTCTCATTGTGTGCAATAACAGCCCGTGTGATGAATTTGGGACACTTTTTCACTATCATGAATATATGTATAACTATAGACGTGTAAGTCACGTGTGACTATATATGCATTGATACTGATGTGTAGATGGTGTGGATATATTTTTCTGTCTGCAGCTGTCGCTTCCTCTGCAGAATTGGTCTGATGGAGCAAAGGCACTCGGCGCGACTCGGTGCAAAAAGGCAACAATGCGACCTGCGTGCCAACAGCACAGATCGTACTGAACATTTGACACAGCACCAGAGAACTCAAACAGCAGAGAAACCCGTCAAGTGCAGTGTGTGTGGGAAAACGTTTGCACAGTCATCTACTCTTGTAAAACACCAGAGAACACACACAGGAGAGAAACCCTTCAAGTGCAGTGTGTGTGGGAAGGCATTTTCACAGTCAGCTACTCTTGTAGCACACCAGAGAATACACACAGGAGAAAAACCCTTCAAGTGCAGTGTGTGTGGGACGGCGTTTGCACAGTTATCTGCTCTTGTAAATCACCAGAGAACACACACGGGAGAGAAACCCTTCAAGTGCGGCGTGTGTGGGAAGGCGTTTGCACTTTCATCTACTCTTGTAGAACACCAGAGAACACACACGGGAGAGAAACCCTTCAAGTGCAGTGTGTGTGGGAAGGCGTTTGCACAGTCATCTACTCTTTTAAAACACCAGAGAACCCACACGGGAGATAAACCCTTCAAGTGCAGTGTGTGTGGGAAGGAGTTTGCAAAGTCATCTACTCTTGTTATACACCAGAGAACCCACACGGGAGATAAACCCTTCAAGTGCAGTGTGTGTGGGAAGGCGTTTGCAAAGTCATCTACTCTTGTTATACACCAGAGAACACACACGGGAGAGAAACCCTTCAAGTGCAGAGTGTGTGAGAAGGCGTTTGCACGGTCATCTACTCGTGAAGCACACCAGACAACACACACGGGAGAGAAACCCTTCAAGTGCAGTGTGTGTGGGAATGCGTTTGCACGGTCATCTGTTCTTGTAATACACCAGAGAACCCACACGGGAGATAAACCCTTCAAGTGCGGTGTGTGTGGGAAGGCGTTTGCACATTCATCTACTCTTGCAGAACACCAGAGAACACACACAGGAGAGAAACCCTTCAAGTGCAGTGTGTGTGGGAAGGCGTTTGCACAGTCATCTGCTCTTGTAAAACACCAGAGAACACACACCGGAGAGAAACCCTTCAAGTGTGGTGTGTGTGAGAAGGCGTTTACACGGTCATCTACTCTTGTAGAACACCAGAGAACACACACGGGAGAGAAACCCTTCAAGTGCAGTGTGTGTGGGAAGGTGTTTACACTTTCACCAAATTTTCAAAGACACCAGAGAACACACAAGCATCACAATATCCACAAGGAGTGGAGTCTGAAATCAGCTTGTGAAAGTCAAAGTGATGCAATGAGTGTATCCCTCATGAAACAAGAACCGGAAGAAAATCCCAGCTTGGATACTTTGAAAGATATCGAGGTGAAACGTGAAGATGTGAAGGTGAAATGTGAAGAAGTGATGGTGAAGAGCGAAGAAGTGAAGGTAAAATGTGAAGATGAAGATTCAACTCCAAAATCGGACCTTCACATCGATGGAGGCAACGTGAAGCAGGAGGATAATTCTCACTGTGAGACAGAGCGAGGCAACTCCCAGCAGTTTGTGGAAGTGGAGGTGTGGGTTGACTTCCGTGACAATAGAAAGTCAAATGGAGACCCGGGAGATGTGTAAGCTTGAGACGATGTCGCTCCAATAGACGCACCTTTGTCACAGGCCTTTAATGACAAGAATGTGAAGTTGAACACTCGGTTCTTAGTTTCAACCTGCAGGGTAAGAGCGGCCAGTCTTTGTGGACCTGTGTGTTGGGTAGATTTCTAACCAGGAGCGAGAGCCAATAAGCTCCCAAGCATTCACTGTTATAAATTGCATTCATATGGTGCTTACTTAATCGCCTCGGCAACTCGGAGTTTTGTATCGTATCTCGTTTCAAACACTCGAAGAGCACCCCCAAGTAGCAGCTGCCCCTGTGTGGTGTTGTGTATGTACCCCCTTTTTATTTTTTTAATATTATTTTTTTTTTAAGAATTATTCTGCCAACATAGATGATATAGTTTTTTTTAATAGACGCGGCCACGTGGGAACGAACACGCCCCCACACTTCCACAGAGGCCCCCACACTACCACAGATGCGCGCACACCTCATTTCAAAGGAAAGAGGACATGAAAGGGGGGGCAATAAGGTAATAAAAACTCCCCTAAATTCACACAAGAGGAACAAGGGAGGGGGGAATGGCAGGCGGGGGGTTGCAGGGCCGGGCATCACGGAGGAAGAGATAATTATATTCTGAACAAAGATAAGCCGGGATATCAGATTAAATAATCACGAAGTCAAATAATAAGTACGGAATTAAAGTAGAAGAGGAATCAAGGGCGGAGAAGGCTCTCAAAATTAATCAAACACAACAACCCATGGGAAGCGAGCAACACGGCCGCCTTTGTCTTTCCGAGAGGATCTCCACACGCAGGCACAAAGCTAGGAAATGACACCCATAAAGGGGGCAATGGCTCAAAGGAAATTAACACGTCTTCGAATAAATAAGCGCATGCGCCGGGTGCTCCCACCGTGGAAACAACCGCCTTTGTCTCCCCACAACACGGACAGCAAAAATTGCACACGCGAGGAAATAACATTTCCGTGAGAGATCGGGTCACGATGAAACATCGTGAACACGGTTTCGGCATAACCAAGCAGCAAATAAGTCGCATTTCAACTTCCAAACCAAACCAACTTAAGCTGTGTGAGACAAAGGATGTGATCCCAGAGCAAGGAAGGGAATAATTAAGCTCGCTTAACGCGTAGGTTTTCGCGACAAATATTATTCAGGAACAAAACATGGATTCGAATGTTTTTTTTTATAACTCGACGCGAATCATCGGTCTGGCTAATGGATAACTTCGGTGGCACCGTCACGAGGCCCCCACCCCCACCCCTTTCTTCCAGAACGACACACATATGTGTCTTCAAAGCTAATAAACACACGGACAAACACGCACGCGAAACACACGGACGGACACACACACGGACGCAGATGGTTCAGCCCACAGGAAGGTTTTATGACACAGCCTTTGAACAACTCGGGAAGCCGAGTGGAATTTCCAGATATAAACCGAAGAAAAATCCATACAAAGCAGATCGTCAGGGGCTCTGGCCCCCATCACAGATCTCCAGGGCTTCGGCTCCATCTCTTCTCGTCGCCGCCAACGAAGAAGCTTTTCGTCATCCAGAAGGACGAGGATCGCGCGGTGCCGAGGCATCGCCTATCGCACACGAGTGTACGAGCCCAGCTCTCTTGCCGTGTCACCACGCCGAGGTGCATCGCCTGCCGCACACGAGTGTACGAGCCCAGCTCCCCTGCCGTGTCGCCACGCCGAGGTGCATCGCCTGACCACGCAAACGAGCGTGGCCGCGCCGTCAGTCATCGTACGGGGTCAGCCGAGGGAGGAGTCGGAAAGCGAGCCGCTCACCCTCTCACCGCAGCTGCGCAAACCAGAGGGTCCTTCTCCGAAAGTCGTTCGTACCCACAACTTCCCCCACCAATAGACCCACACACGCACGCATCGACGCCCCACTCACCTGTGAGACTATCCCATCTAGTTCACCCTTGCCATCGTATCAACCCTAGTCAATTATCAGAAGACTGATTATCAACTACATGAACCATCAGCTGGCCATGCGGAATCGCGGCCCATCGAGTGATTAAGAGTCCGTCGGTGATAAGAGTGAGGTTGTTACCGTTTCTTTCCCTTGTTCCGCTCATCACATAGGCGATCAATAGACTCGTCGAGGCAAACTCAACCTCTCGGAATCCTCATTACGAATCGACCGAACACAGAGAGAGAATATCTTGTCAAACCAGTTTCCTTTGTCCCAGAGTCTCGCCGAAGAATTAATTAAAACAGAGCCAGATTCGCTCTCGCGCCCACACGCCCTCACCCACCATTGTATCAAACATTCCGTTAAGAGGATTTTTATACTTGCCGATGAATCTATTGACATATACTTTCGCCTCTTGGGTATAATAAGTGCTATATTACCGCCATAGGAAGTGTGTCATGCTTGTTTTCAAACTCGACCAGTCGCCGATTGTGATCGATACATGGGCGAACTAATGAGATGCCTGGTAGGAAAAGTAGAGGTTACAATTGATAGAAGTGTTTTTAGTCATTCAGTTCGTTAAATGCATAAGTGTTTATTCATTCATTTTAGTCAAATGCATAAGAGTTTCGTTATTCATATTGCATAATTGCATAATTTCACAAATGCATAAGTGTTTATTCATTCATTTTAGTCAAATGCATAAGAGTTTCGTTATTCATATTGCATAATTGCATAATTTCACAACTGCATAAGTTTTTGTCGTTCATATTAGTTAACTGCATAATCTTGCCCACGAATTATTGACGCATGTTTGACCTGCATGATAGAATGTCACGTGTTTGTTAGAATAAAATTGTTATCACAGAAGCATATTGAGTGTTCTTTCCAAGTCCATGCAAAACCATCTTATTCATAAGAGCTGTATCCTGCGATGAGATATGAAAATGGAGACCTAAAATATTATAACACACACTAGGATAATCGGTAAATGAATCTATGATAATCGTGTTATCCTGATTGATAACTCTGGATAAACGAAACTAAGCAAATTATCATAACTGCACACATTAACATAATCGCAAGCCTCCGCATAAATTACGATTATCTCCGTGATTATCATAATTTATGCATATAATCACATGCATTATCCTAATTTATGCATATTAATACACACACTATCATAATTAATGCGAATTTAGCATTTTTCGGAAAATTTTTAATTTTTATTATTTTCATCAAAATTTCATAATTCCAACACATACAACATAATGGGTGGCGTCGTCCGGGATCTCTCGCAGACAGTGTTTTGCATGGATGATGGAATGAATCACTTCGTGTTAACCAGAATATCGGGATCGAACATTGCATGGTAATTGTGAACGGGCGGAAAAATAAAAAACGCCCTCTAAGGTTGAAACCCAGAATAGCAGGTTAAAACAGAGACAGTGGAATTAAGATAATACCGTATCAAACCAATTGCATCCTGTGATAAATGGTGTTAGAGGTACGCACTCTGAATCAGAAAATAACAGATAGCTCGAGTCAAATTGACTACACTCTGTGAGATAATTGTTTTATATGCACTCTGAAAGGGAATGTCAAAGTAACTCCCGCCACACCTTTGAGATGCTGGGATTAAGAATAATTTTTGAATGGGTTACGGGATACGGGGAGCTCGTATTTAAACGTACCGACCAATCTGTTACAAAGCAGTACAGTCAGAGAGACATATGGGAAGGGAGCTGTATCGATAACACGAACACACCTCGGGGGAAACTAATTGACTGGATAAAATGTAACGAAGGCGAACACGATGTAAAAACTGCAGGAAAGGCAGGACAGGACTCATGCCTTCTCACACAGGCATACAGACAGGGATTGTGGAATGAGGAAAAATTTGGAAAGGAAACGGGAGAGAAATCAGTGCTCGCGACACCAGCGAAACTCACAGACGTCGATCCACAGAATAAATATGGAAGTAACATTAAATCACACTCTTGGGTAAGTGGACAGAGTCCAGGAACTGATCGCACAAAAATTATGGATATCGAACAAAAAATCCTTGACAAAGGGAAACCCTCACAATTCGAGATAAGGGATGGAGAGATACATATGCAAACAAAAACATGTGAGACTGACAACTTCACAGATATAGGGAGGGAAAATGTTAAAGTAAAGTCGACAGGACATGCTCCACTAAGGGCAGAGGCAAAAACTGAAGGGAAATGGCAACACGCCCGACACAGCACAGACCAAAGTGACATTGCCTGATGATAACTTGTTTGATGATGACGCTGTCGGCAATCAACTTTCGGAATACCTATTCACCAGTAAAACCCTTAAATTGATGGACAAGGCTCTAGTCAGAATTCCCGATTTTGACCCCCACAATAAGACTATGGATATCCACACACATATCGCAACAGTAAAAGAGGAGGCAATGATTAGAGGGCTGAGGAGACGGGATGAAAAAGCGAGTTTGTTGAAACGGACCTTACATAAAGAATCTATTCCATGGGTAAAGTCACTACCACACAAGGTTAGAAATGATTTTAAACAATTGAGCCTGGCAGTGATTCGGAAGTTTGGAGAATATTCGACACTCACTGAGGGGTTTTATGCTGTAAAATCGATGACCCAGGGCATGGACCAAGATCCACGTGACTACCTCGTCCAATTTAAAAGAGCGTATTACGCAGGCGATGTGAATCAATACCACGATGGAGATAAAATGTTCAAAATTATGTTTTTTGAATCCTTGAGCCCAGAGATTACAGAAAGGGTGAGAATGGTTTTGAATCCAGAAACCGCATCCTTACGCCGCATAGAGAGCAAGGCGTACATGGCATGGTTATACAGAGCTAAGAATCATAATTCGGATCCAGAACACAGGGAGAGGGATGAGGAACCCAGCCTCTCAGAGAGGAATAAAAATCACCGAGCAGTCCCACAATGCAGGACGGAGCAGAAACGCACGCACACATGGCAAAATAACCCAGAGAGAGGTTGGCACGAGAATGAGAGCGGCACAAAGCCGAACATTCAGGAGAATCGCAGGAGGGAGAGGTTCAGAACAGAACCATATCAACACCCCATGCCCCGACATGCGCAAGGTCAAAATTACCCACAGAAATGGCAAAGTAACAATCCAGGAAAAATTTGGCACCCAAATAGGAGAAATACTGGGCCAAAAATGTACGAGAATCGCAGGAGGGAGAGGTTCAGAGCAGAACCATATCAACACCCCATCCCACGACACACGCAAGGTTCAAATTACGCACAGAGATGGGAAGATAACCACCTAGCGGGAAGGTGTTACACAGACCGCGGAGGTATGGATGCAAACATGTACGAGAATCGCAGGATGGGAGGTCAAAAACAATCAGTCCAATTACGACCAATTCCTCCACCGGCTATACCAGGGGGGAATAGAAGAATAACACAGAATGCGGCCCAAATACATGATGAACCATCCACAGTGAGTGCGAGCGAGCGGCCAACACGCGCCCCACCCGCCGAGGTGTTAAACCCTAAGCAGGCTGCAAGTGACAGGGCTGAATTGAAGTGTGATCGGACAGTACAAAAACAGACAGCAGGGACACGCCCTGAGGAGCGCAGGCATGAGCCTTTGAATGGAAAATATCCAAGGGAAACCAAAAATTACGTGGATCGGAGTGCTAAAATGGAGACGAATGTCCATGACGTATCGGGAATGGTGTTGAAATCCAACACACTCGTAAAAACAGAGGGCAACATTACGAGGGACAGAATTAAATCGACACACTGACTCGGCAAATGTGCATGTAATCGCAGAGAGAGCGAATGCCACGAACCAAGTGTCAAAGTGGGTCGTGTGCGCGAAGTCTGGTTACGTGCAGCACAATTTTTCACCACACACTCCCACGACGCGAGAGAGTGAGAGAGGAAACTACAAAAACGAACCCGAAAACCGTGATCAAATTATCAAAGTGATAAGTGGTAAACCAGGCAACATGAGGAAGGTAACGCATAAATGCGTTCGAAACCGCTACCTAGCGTTTCCCAGGATTTAACAAAAACAAAAATGAATGTTCGTCAGAGTTATGATGTATGAGAACCGATGTAACGCAATATCGATGTTAACGTGTTGTTTATTTTCTTTGCTTATTTCAGATGTAACCAGGTTAAGATGGTAATACGTGCACGCGCGTCGTAAGAAATAACCGCCGAGAGTAAGGGCGGCTGATGGGATTCATGACATAAAAAGGGGGCATTACTTTGTTTGAAAATTCGCCAGTGGCCAAATCGACCCCTGATAATTTTCAAACGGGCGGACTGTTGTGTATGTACCCCCTTTTTATTTTTTTTAATATTATTTTTTTTTTAAGAATTATTCTGCCAACATAGATGATATCGTTTTTTTTAATAGACGCGGCCACGTGGGAACGAACACGCCCCCACACTTCCACAGAGGCCCCCACACTACCACAGATGCGCGCACACCTCATTTCAAAGGAAAGAGGACATGAAAGGGGGGGCAATAAGGTAATAAAAACTCCCCTAAATTCACACAAGAGGAACAAGGGAGGGGGGAATGGCAGGCGGGGGGTTGCAGGGCCGGGCATCACGGAGGAAGAGATAATTATATTCTGAACAAAGATAAGCCGGGATATCAGATTAAATAATCACAAGAAGTCAAATAATAAGTACGGAATTAAAGTAGAAGAGGAATCAAGGGCGGAGAAGGCTCTCAAAATTAACCAAACACAACAACCCATGGGAAGCGAGCAACACGGCCGCCTTTGTCTTTCCGAGAGGATCTCCACACGCAGGCACAAAGCTAGGAAATGACACCCATAAAGGGGGCAATGGCTCAAAGGAAATTAACACGTCTTCGAATAAATAAGCGCATGCGCCGGGTGCTCCCACCGTGGAAACAACCGCCTTTGTCTCCCCACAACACGGACAGCAAAAATTGCACACGCGAGGAAATAACATTTCCGTGAGAGATCGGGTCACGATGAAACATCGTGAACACGGTTTCGGCATAACCAAGCAGCAAATAAGTCGCATTTCAACTTCCAAACCAAACCAACTTAAGCTGTGTGAGACAAAGGATGTGATCCCAGAGCAAGGAAGGGAATAATTAAGCTCGCTTAACGCGTAGGTTTTCGCGACAAATATTATTCAGTAACAAAACATGGATTCGAATGTTTTTTTTATAACTCGACGCGAATCATCGGTCTGGCTAATGGATAACTTCGGTGGCACCGTCACGAGGCCCCCACCCCCACCCCTTTCTTCCAGAACGACACACATATGTGTCTTCAAAGCTAATAAACACACGGACAAACACGCACGCGAAACACACGGACGGACACACACACGGACGCAGATGGTTCAGCCCACAGGAAGGTTTTATGACACAGCCTTTGAACAACTCGGGAAGCCGAGTGGAATTTCCAGATATAAACCGAAGAAAAATCCATACAAAGCAGATCGTCAGGGGCTCTGGCCCCCATCACAGATCTCCAGGGCTTCGGCTCCATCTCTTCTCGTCGCCGCCAACGAAGAAGCTTTTCGTCATCCAGAAGGACGAGGATCGCGCGGTGCCGAGGCATCGCCTATCGCACACGAGTGTACGAGCCCAGCTCTCTTGCCGTGTCACCACGCCGAGGTGCATCGCCTGACCACGCAAACGAGCGTGGCCGCGCCGTCAGTCATCGTACGGGGTCAGCCGAGGGAGGAGTCGGAAAGCGAGCCGCTCACCCTCTCACCGCAGCTGCGCAAGCCAGAGGGTCCTTCTCCGAAAGTCGTTCGTACCCACAACTTCCCCCACCAATAGACCCACACACGCACGCATCGACGCCCCACTCACCTGTGAGACTATCCCATCTAGTTCACCCTTGCCATCGTATCAACCCTAGTCAATTATCAGAAGACTGATTATCAACTACATGAACCATCAGCTGGCCATGCGGAATCGCGGCCCATCGAGTGATTAAGAGTCCGTCGGTGATAAGAGTGAGGTTGTTACCGTGTCTTTCCCTTGTTCCGCTCATCACATAGGCGATCAATAGACTCGTCGAGGCAAACTCAACCTCTCGGTACGAATCGACCGAACACAGAGAGAGAATATCTTGTCAAACCAGTTTCCTTTGTCCCAGAGTCTCGCCGAAGAATTAATTAAAACAGAGCCAGATTCGCTCTCGCGCCCACACGCCCTCACCCACCATTGTATCAAACATTCCGTTAAGAGGATTTTTATACTTGCCGATGAATCTATTGACATATACTTTCGCCTCTTGGGTATAATAAGTGCTATATTACCGCCATAGGAAGTGTGTCATGCTTGTTTTCAAACTCGACCAGTCGCCGATTGTGATCGATACATGGGCGAACTAATGAGATGCCTGGTAGGAAAAGTAGAGGTTACAATTGATAGAAGTGTTTTTAGTCATTGAGTTCGTTAAATGCATAAGTGTTTATTCATTCATTTTAGTCAAATGCATAAGAGTTTCGTTATTCATATTGCATAATTGCATAATTTCACAACTGCATAAGTTTTTGTCGTTCATATTAGTTAACTGCATAATCTTGCCCATGAATTATTGACGCATGTTTGACCTGCATGATAGAATGTCACGTGTTTGTTAGAATAAAATTGTTATCACAGAAGCATATTGAGTGTTCTTTCCAAGTCCATGCAAAACCATCTTATTCATAAGAGCTGTATCCTGCGATGAGATATGAAAATGGAGACCTAAAATATTATAACACACACTAGGATAATCGGTAAATGAATCTATGATAATCGTGTTATCCTGATTGATAACTCTGGATAAACGAAACTAAGCAAATTATCATAACTGCACACATTAACATAATCGCAAGCCTCCGCATAAATTACTACGATTATCTCCGTGATTATCATAATTTATGCATATAATCACATGCATTATCATAATTTATGCATATTAATACACACACTATCATAATTAATGCGAATTGCGCATTTTTCGGAAAATTATTAATTTTTATTATTTTCATCAAAATTTCATAATTCCAACACATACAACAGTGGCACAAGGTGGTGGCCCTGCACTGGCCTGCATGTAGACAAGAGCCTGTCAGTAGAGGGCGATGGTTGATGTGGCACCTTGGTTGTGGAGTTTGTAGGTAATGTTTGGAATTTGCTAAATTTTGACCCAGACACCAGCATTCGTTTTGAATGGCGCAATAGTATTAGTTAAAATGATTGTCAATAATTTAGAATGATTACTTGTCTGATGGTGTGCGCACATGTAACATTTTGTCTATAAGGGTCAAACATTGAATAAGTGACGTTAGGACAAAGTTTGTGTTTTGCAAGTAACCTGTACAGATCACTCGGGTGAGACTCATTGTTCTTGTGATACAGGTCAAAGGGTACTTTTGTGTTTTCAGGAAGCGTCTGCCTCTGGAGCAACTCATTGTCTTTTAAATAGTGAGCACGCTCGGATCATTAATCAGTTACAAGGCATACCAATTAAAAGTTACACGAAAAGGAGGAACATTCTCTACAACACGAATTATAATTTTGTATTATGTGTTGAATTAGGACGAGAAATGGTCCTTGCTGATTGTAAAGTGACGAAAAAAATTTCACACGAGCGACGCATCCACGCAAGCTCCCGATGCTCCGTTTTGAAGTTTGAAAATGAAACAACTTTGAATTGTATTATGTTTTGAATTACATAAATGTACTTCTTCATTAAAAGCTTATTCATTGAAAACGATATTTCGTGTGAATTTTCTCTCGTCGTGAAGTAGATGGCCTTGCTGGGGGTTCAGTTTGATGCGGACTTTCACCTGTTTGGGATCGCGGGATCGAGATGAGGCGACACAGAGCTGGCCGTGCGATAAGACCGCCGTCTGCAGATCGATTCCAACGCGATCGAACGTCTGTCCCTGCCCCTCCGTCGTTCATGCAGGGGGCACGTAGGTTTGCAGCGCCCCCTGCATGAAAGCGACGGAACGTGCAGCGTTCGTCACGAAGTTGTGCGTAAGCGCCATAACAAGGCGCTGTAAGCTGACCTGCCACCACGTGCACTGGTCAAAAGGGAGCAGGAGAGAGAGAGCGAGGTGTGTAGGGGTCGACCAAAGGTTAAACCCCCGGCCCCCCACCGTGACCGGAGACTAACACCCCTGACCCCCCACTCATCCCTAAGGCCCATTAAGATCCTTCAGAAGGTTCTGGGACGGGGGGGGGGGGGGGGGGTCAGGAGGGGAGGGGTGATCTCGACCTGGGGATAAAAGGCCGGCCCTCTGGACGGACCGGGCAGTGTTCACCAACTCAAGCCTGAGGACATCCGAAGACCTGAAGACTGGAACAGTACCCGGGGACCCTCAACCGAGGCTCTTGTTAGAGCCGGGTTGTAGCGGACCCGAGGTGAGCTCAGACACTCTGGGACCTTCCCCCAGCTCTAGCCAGAGCCGGGTTGTAGCGGACCAGAGGTGAGCTCTAGTACCCTGGCTGGGACGGGTCGTCCAGTCTTCCCTTAACGCCGGGCTAAGGGACCCGTGGGTGGCAGAGCCCGGAGTGTGCAGGCTGCGATAGAAACGAGGCTGTCACTCCCGTAGGCTATCGGTTGGAAGGGGTCGTACCCCTTCGTGTTTCAGTCGTGTGTAGAGCCGAGTTCGAAAGAGTTATAATAAACGTGTTGCCTCAACCAGACGTCCCCGTGTGGTTAGTTAAGGACACAACACTTATATAAAAGAGTATAGCCAGTGGGTTTTCAAAGTACCTTCGTTTTACAGAAATCAATTTCGCGTGAGCCCACCGCATTGAAACAATGCTCAGCTGAGCGAGGCGAGCCCCGGGAGGGGGGGGGGGCTCACCTCATCTTTGTCACGTGCCGTAGCTCACGTGACATCTGCCGCGACAATGTCTGGATGTTTTCGCCTGAGAACGATCGCTCGTGTTGCGATCGAAACGTCGTGATTTATTTATTATTATTTTATTTGTTCTACCTACGTGACTTTACTGAAAGAACCAAAGAGGATGAAAGACGTCTTGTCTGCTGATCTTGTTCATATCCGTGTACATCGATATCCCACATTGCTTACACGTTCACACCACACACAATGAAATAAATAGAAACTAGAACGACTTCTGGGGATGCGCAAATATCGAGGAAACTTTCAATGGAGCGAGTTCAGTTAGTTCGATTCAACATCCTTCTGCCCGTCTGTGTCTCTGTTCGCCTCTGTGTGTTTCTCTCTGCATGTGTCTATGTCGTCTCTGTGTTCCTCTTGTCTGTGTCTGTCCACTTGTCTTGTCTGTGTGTGTTTGTCTATCAGCGTCTGTCCAACCGGAGTCAACGACTGTCAGTAGCAGCAGGCTCCCGTTCAACTCCCACTGCTACACGCCACTCAAACTTGCTCCCAACACACAAAGACAAACATCTCCCGTGTAGACTGGACAGAATGTCAGGGCAAGTGCTGTTAGCGAGCACCTAACACAAACACAAAGATCCCCCGTATAGCCTGCACAGAATGTTGGGGCAAGTGCTGTTAGTGAGCATCTAAGACAAAGACCCCCCATATAGCCTGGACAGACTGTAGGGGCAAGTGCTGTTAGCGAGCACCTAACACAAACAGAAAGATCCCCCATATAGCCTTAACAGTTTCATTTCATTTTCATGTGTTTGGTATAGCCCTGTGAGCCATTCGGCTCTTGAATCGGGTGCAACCGCAACAAATAAAAAACATGAACTAGAAAACATCTCAAAGTGACTGCGCAAACAGAAAAACCATGGAAAAACTGCAAAGTCTTCCAGAAAAAAGCACCGTACACCAACGCTGTGCAAAAATCCCAGTGGGATGCCAGTCAAACAACAACAACAACAACAACCACAAGACAACTTAGATTAAAGCCATCATTCTAACTCCGTACTACAACAAACATGGCTAAACCAAAAATATGTTTGAAATCACCAAAATAAAGCCATAAGCAATGTAACAGTGATCATAGGAACTGTGACCGAAATTTCACAATAAACGACAAAAAACATGTTCCACCAAATTTCTATTTAAAGCTTTCGTGACTGCAGGGATTCATCTTCTTGGTTCTTTCGGTAAAGTCACGTAGAATGGAAATAATAAAAGAATAAAAATAAAAATAATAAAATAATTCTCACGACGTTTCGGCCACAACGCAAGCAGCCGTCCTCAGGCGAAGAACAGGTCTGTCAGAAAGACAGCGTCTGAATGAACACCACCAGGCTTGGCAGCGTATATTTAAGCTGGGTTGGAGGGGGAAGAGCGCCTTGACAAAGGAATTCGCATATCAAGAGGGATTTAGCATATTCATGGTAAATGCAGGTATGTGATTAGTACTACTTATGCCCGTGCATTATGCAGGATTAGCAACATCAAACGAAGGGGATATGGGAAATGCAGGTATGTGATTAGTACTACTTATGCCCGTGCATTATGCAGGATTATCAGCATCAAAGGGAGGGGATATGAGAAATGCAGGTATGTGATTAGTACTACTTATGCCCGTGCTTTATGCAGGACCAGCATCATCAAAGGGAGGGGATGGGGGTAGCATTAACAAAGGGAAGGAATGTTAATAGTATGTAGCTGCAGTTAATAAACAACCACGTAAAAAACTAAAGTATAAACGACATAGTATCATCAGTATATTAAATATACTCTCCAATAAGCTGAGCTACTAAAAGTAAGTAATACATTACAATTCTACGTCGCAAAAATATAATATGCTTCCAGCTAAACTTTTTTCTCTTACATCACACGGGTCTACCCCGTACTATATACTACCATAGACAAACTCAACATTAAATTATATACTGTATTACTATACACCACTCTATACCTTCGACTATAATATTACCCTAAGTATTATTCTACCCACCCTACTGTATACCACACTGCTGTATATTCACTATACATTTACGATACTGTATATTACCTTATACATTGTATTAAACATTACAATTTTATACTATTTATACAATCTGCTATACTCTATACCATTGACCGTCGCGTGAAAGATGCTAAGAGGAAGCAACGAAATATGTCAATGGGAGAGTGGTGGAGGAGACTTGCAGGGGAGCAAAGAATCCATTCGCTATGGAGAATACAAGATATTTTGTCAATGCCAGTGAGTGGACTGCGGTCTTTTTTACGTGGTTGTTTAGTAACTGCAGCTACATACTATTAACATTCCATCCCTTTGTTAATGCTACCCCCATCCCCTCCCTTTGATGCTGCTGGTCCTGCATAATGCACGGACATAATATGACTTTGAAACCCCCCGCCCACCTCCTACGCATTTACCATATATATGCTAAAATTATCTTGATATGCAAATTATTTTGTCAAGGTGCTCTTCTTCCAACCTCCCCCCCTCCAACCCAGCTTAAATATACGCTCCAAGCTTGG